CAAAACACATCATACTTTGTCCCCAATAGTAATGGCTCAGTAACCATTTACACCAATGTCTAAATATTGAATATTTGTTAGTCAAGAACTGAATGGTGCTTTTGTTTTCAAACTCTATTAGCTATAAATACGCTGTGTTTGAAAAGGTCTGACTGGGAGTAAGATGATATCTAGGTAATTGATGATGGTCAGGTTTCAGGTCCAATAGAAAATGTGGCTTTGTTTGACAACTCATTATTACCCCATTGAAGTTGTTGTGTAAGATCAATTGAAATACATTCTTCTATTTGCTAAAAACTTTCATTAGAATTTTATTAAATGTTATAATTTTTATTAAATTGTTCAAATTTGTTTTATTATCAAAACAGACATGTACAATATTCTTTCCAAAAACAGGTATTTACAAGAGAAAAAAGGAACAGTTTTGTTTAAACTGGTTATGTGACCATTTATCTTGATTGTCAGGACTGGTCAGTACTGACATCAGAACTTTAATCACTTAACTAGGTGGCATTACTGTGACTCATCATTGAGGACAGTTGAAAAATACATCTTGACCTGTGGTCAACCTGAGTGGACAATCTCTCAACACATTCCTAGAGGAGACCATATGTCATTAACTTAAATTTCTTACACCAAGCTAATGTGTCCATAGATAATAGTCTACAATAAATGTTTGGTGACCCCCGGGTCAATGACAGATTACCCAACCTTACCTGGGTATACTTTATCTCACAATCTAGACCTTTCTATCCAAGGGCTGTCTTTAATTATCATTCCACTCTCACTATTGAGATGTCAAGTGTTCTGTGCATAAGGTGACATATTGTATTAAAATGTTTGAGTGTACGTGATGTCAGTAGATGCTGTGTTGTGTACTGCCTCAGCATACCTCACCTGTAATTACAGAGTAGAGATCAATACTTTGTAATTACCCAACGTCTACAGATGTCCAGGTGCTGGTACTATAGGCTATGTCAATGCTCTGTGTAAATTATAAAAATGTAATCAGGCTAACCCCTATACTTAAGACCTTATTGAAATATTTAACATTAATAGCCATAGTAAAAGGCAGGTAATTGAGTTTTATGTAAAAAACCTGCATGCTGGCTATTGAAGTGGATGGCTTCAAACGTTTTATGCCTGCATATGTATATTATTAAATACAACAAGAATTTGGATTTTATCTCCAATGTTAAACGCTGTAGATTGAGGGTCAACATAAACTCGGACTGAAATATTAACAAAAAGAAAAGGAGGATGTAGGGGGGATCGCTACTCGAGCGTGCCAGTGAGCATTATAGCCGTGAAGGCAGACAAGACTACCAATTTCCGACACAGAAAGGGAGAGTTTGTTACACCTGGCCCATAAAATAGCAGGTTATGAAGAGAAACATTTAAGGTATGCTGTTAGATTTTCAATGGGTATGTAGTACAGCCTGACACCTCCGCCAGTAATTATATAGCAGTTAGGTCTGATTGCTGTAAAGTGACCATATTAGATTATAATAACAGGTTTGCTTCGTCTCAAGTGGTCTGAGGTGTGTGTACCTTTTGACACCTGTGGTTTTGTGTGGCGCACACAGGTGCTAATCCATCCTCTGTCATCCTTATGTAAAGATGGCTACCTGTCGCATAATTTACAATTTCTTGATAAACTAGCTACACATTGAAATAAATCGCAGTACATGCACTCAGAAGTTTTTGTATTGTGTAAAGTCGGTGTTCATGCTGAACATCTTATAAGTGATAATTAAGTCCTGTCTGTATGTTAATGATGAAACAAAGGACAGTCTATAAGATAGGTATGTACATGTATGTGTAGACAAGTATGTAAACGATCAAACCTGCAAGGCCAATTAAACAAGATCACCTTTACAAATGAAGAAATCACAGTATTTAAATTCAGATCTATTTCTCACACCGCCATAACAACTATTTAAATGTACCAAAAGAACATACACGTTTATCTTAATTGTAATAAAACTTATCAGATTACAAAAACGGTCTGTGTGATGTCTGTGACATCTATCTGTCCAACACTGATCTCGATTACTAAAGTTCTAATGTCTATTAAGGTAATACGTAAGTCTTTATTGAGGGGTGATTAATTTTGTATAAGCCCGGTTAACCTGCCATTGTTGATATCAATGGACGCTGTAAACCGCATCGTCTAACAATCACTGATTATCTGACTTGGAATGCTGCTGTCACAATCGCACCAAGGTTTTTTCTCATGACTATTGCCCCTAGAAATCTGTGTGTAGTGTTATCCAATTGCAGGTTTGTCTTAGGAATAGCAATGTGCCGTGGGTAGTCTAGGACAAAGGCCTGCTTGTGCTTGGATTAGCGCCATCAGGTGGATTGTTAGTGTTTAATATCCATGTTTGTATAAAAACTGTAGGTGGATGAGTGTGATTCAGCTTTTGTCCTTTATATCTGATGGGTATAGTTTAGGTCGGCATTATCAGGGATTTCTATCATCTTAGTAATACATTTCAGGTATTTTCTTTCAAATTTAATAAGATTTACAAGGTCAGAGTGCTATTTAAACATGTTGCGGTACCGTGTCCTGGTTTCCCACATTACCAGTGTTAGTTTACCTGTGGTTTCGTGTTCGTACCGCCCGTTACATAAAAGGTTTTTATTAGTCATAAAGCAATATTAATACTATGTAATTGTTTTATTTACCTTAGGTAGTATTTCTACTCAGTGGATAAAGAAGCGGTTAAAGGGTCTCATCAATCATTAACTCTTTTGTCAATAGATGTTTTAACAAAATATCAAAATCACACAGCCATGCAGATTCCTTAGTTTGTGGTTTACTGTAAAACATTCTAGACATATCAGTTCTGTGACCAAAGATATCATTTTATACCATTTGAGTCATATACCTGTGTCCAGATTTAGAATCAAGGTGGGTGTGAAACGAAACCACAGGTATTTTTTGTATAAGTAACTGTAAAGGTAAAAATACTTTCTGGTGACAGGAATTTAGAGTACATTTTCTGATTTCTTCTCTCTTAAATACTAGACCTCGGTTCAGATTGATTGGGAGGTTGTTATTGGAATGCAATCAAAAAAAATGTTAACTCAACCGTTTGAAAAATTATGTTTGTGAATGGAGGAAGTACAGAGTAACAGGAGAGATTTGGCAGGGCTAGCTTGTTCTACCTGTGTGAACACATCTTTAACGGAGTACACGCCATCAGATCACACTACACCTTATGTAGAAAAAAACAGTTTTCAGATGATCTCATTAAGTTGTTAATGTCTATTTTGGTTGTTTCAGATTTATTTGTGTGTAAAATTCTTATCTGTCACGAATCTTAATAGAAAGGTGGCTCATTTCTTTACACCCATCATTAAAACTGTTTGATTCTTCTGATTTCTGATGAAATGTGTTCAGATACGTGGAACATGGGTGTATAGCCATTTTAATAAAAAACGAAAACCAGTTTTATGCTGCAACTGACAACAGAAGTCTCGAGGGTCTGAATTTATTGGTCTTGTCTGATAGAATTACCTAGCCCATTAGGCGTGGAGAACAGGTGAATTTGACCGTTACCTTTGATTGATATTCCAAAGGTTATCCTGTTAAAGAATTTCTTTGAAAAGAAAACTGAAATACAATTTTTAGAGAATCCTTTTTTTAGGGAGGGGAGACCAGACAGAGAGAGAGTGACGTTGTCATAGCCTATTTTTGTACCTAATGGAGAAGTCTATAACATGTATGAAGATTGTAGATATTCTTGGCAAGTAAACAAAAATTATATAACACTAAATGTGAAAAAATAAATAGCGTTAACCACTTATATACAGCTACAACAGACATTATTTTGATTGAAGTGGGGTCGTAGGTCATGACATAGAATGTTCACAGGTACTTTGGCCCTTGGCACTCGCAGTAGGTCTCTCGGTACGTTACAGCAAAGTATTAATATGAAAATATTATGGCAGGGTAAATGTACCAGATAAACTTTCATTTCTGGTTGATCAATATGTCAAGGCGTTTGTTAATCTGGTTATATATATATATGTACCCTGCTTAGGACTGCTAAGTCATGCGACCCACAGCACTATTTACCAGACGTTTAACTAAAGACTGCCGTACAGGAACGACAAGTTATACATTTAATATCAACTGGTTGTTGTGTTGGTCCGGTAATAGAAGATTTTCTTATTAGCCATCCTTCCGTGGAGGTCATCTAATGTAGGCAGAAAATACTCTGTCATTGTTGATCCACAAGCATTGAACTTATTAAACTATATTGTTTTCCACCTAAATAACTCTGACTTTCACTTCAGATATTCAGGTAAACAGTTCTTACCAAAACAGTTTAAAGCTTGTATCTATCAGATAATGTATACAAACAACAACTAATAGCATTTCTTGTTTCCTTGGTGACATAAGTTGTCACATTTTTTGTTATATATTTGAAATGACCCACTGCCCAAAACTATATGTAACAAATTGCAAAGTACAGCAAAACCTTGATATAATGCCCCTCAGCGATTTGAAACCTGACTTACCGCCAACTTATTTTAAGGTTCCTTTTTCCTCTTTTCCTGAAGAATATTTTTATGTTTCCCACAATTTATTGCCAAACCCCTTTATAACACCTGAATTTATTTAGACGAATGGTGGCAGTGTAACAAGGTTTTACTGTACATCCCGACAAAACCATTGTTTCCATCTTTAGTTTTCTTAAAGTTACGTTAGGCAGGTGAGCAAATATTTTACTTTTCAAAATATGTACACAGTATTATCAAGTTTATGTAGACACAGTCTTGCAGACTTGAACAGTTGTTTAATTTTAGTAAAAAAAATAGAAAATAGATTAGAAAAAACACTAGTGAAGGCAGGGAATAGGAAGAGGCCTTTTTTGGCCTAAGAAAAATCTTCAAGATGTACATGTAGATTTTGTATAATTTTAGAATTTATGGATAGTGATTTTTTCATGACTGAATCTAACATTGTGATGTTTGGTATGTTTTAGGTGGCTATAAAGTATATAAAGAAGGGCAAGATCAACGATGATACCGACCTTACCCGACTCCGCAGAGAAATCAGGATTCTGTCCTCGCTAAACCACCCAAACATCGTCAATGTCCGGGAAGGTAAGAATCTGTTGGACTGTGTTATTGCATAGTGAAGTGTTGTACCTGAACTGTTGTATATAACCTTTGACCTAACTTGTACAGCTATAATCACTTCTGCTGTCATTTTCAATCAAGAAAATAAGAACATGAATCACCAAAACCCTTGAAATATATCATAGGCTAAAATTCCTAATTTTCATAATTCTATAGGTATAGCATGTTTGTGCCTTTCTATATTTGTATGAATTCAGAAGTATGTGTGCTGTGTGATTTCTGTGGTGTAATGGGTTCCTAATTCCTTGTTCTTATCTTATCACTTCTTAAACCAATGAAATAACAGATGACAAATCAACTCATTTAAAGATAAGAAAACGTTTAATTTAGACAACTTTAGATTGAATAATTAGTGTTTCGTCCTATAAATGTTGTAAACAAGTCCCCACTAAACAAGAGATGAAGAGTGAGATTGTTACCATGACAACAACAGGACAGCCTGACAACCACAGAGGAGATGATGTCACCCGTAGATACCCCAACACATCATGTGATCAGTCCGTGTTAGTGAGGGACTTCACAGCTTTTCATTGCCTAGTCATTGCCTTTCAAACGTTTTCTATTCCCTCATAGCTGGGCAGATGGTTCCCTAAGTGGTCCTGTGTTACATCTAATTCATTGGTCACACTTTCTGAGGCGGCACACATGCTAGTCTATTTCACATCCAACTTGCAGGAACAATCAGACATCAAACCGTTGGTGTAACCCAGATGTAGGGAGCTTGTTAGAACTAGAACAACCAGCCCGCCCCTGATTAGTATGTCTGCGAGGCTGTTATCTGTGGCCTAATCCATCCCTTTGTTTGAGAAATCTCCACGTGATGATGTCCTGGTTTCAGACAAATTTACATGATTTCATACATAGAGGATGGCTGCTGTAATATAACATTAAACGAAATTTGTTACGGTTGCCATGGCAATTGCTGACTGGTCACTGCCGTGATTGTCTGGTGTTGTGGGACAGTTTGATTGGCTGTCATATGTCTCTGAGTCACATGACTATAAATGTTGGCACTTAGTAACGTTTTATAAAATGCTTGTGGTTGTACATTTCAAATGTAGAAAAGCATTTCAATAAAGATTAAAAAAAGGGGGGCCTCAAATAACCTTTAACTGTGATGATCATGACATTGTTTTGATGTGACCTTGATTGTAATTTGGTGAGTAAGGGGACAAAATTGCTACCAAAGCAAATGACAACAACTCATTAACACTCTCTTTAGATAAAGGTTTTCATGACAAATGTGACTCAGGAACAGATTTGCTGTGGTCAGACTCGATAATGATGGCCATTTCAAGGGACAGGAAGGGATTTCTTTGACAAAACTATAAGTAGTTTAACTGATATCAAAACAAAATGTTTACAAGTATATAGAGAAGCAATGCCCATTATTGGAACGGCTGATCACAATGGCTTAAATGATGACCACCAGGGCCAGAACAAATATCTGTGTGGGGGAAGAGAACAAAGACTACACAGACGTCCATCTTTGTTTGGTTCGGGGAGGTCTGCCAGTTCAAACTAATTCACCGGCTCTTAAGTACTCAAATTATTGGTCATTTCTATCAGTCATTAATAGTACTGGTCAGCTCAGACCACCTAAATGAGTGTTTATTAACCTGATCCTTTGTGGTCAAGCAAACATGTCTCACCTTTACAGTGGCCTGAATGCACTGTCCACTGATCTGTTTGGGTTTACTAGTACGCAGAGTAAGTAGTTATAGAGTAACACGTAGCTGTCAACGCAGTAAAAACTCTCGCTAGTAGTTTTAAAAACTGCATAAAATATCCATCTGGATTTTAAACTTGAAATGATCTGTCGGGGCTTGCTTTATGGATTCCTTGCATTCCTCGACCAGCAATTAAATATTGGTATAAGCTATTCTCGCAGGCTATGTTTGAGTTATATGTAATAGTATTATTACAATCTGTGAAAGTCTTCTGTACATAGGTGATCAGAGAATGAAAGGAACCAGTGTCTACAAGGACAAATCTTAAAATGTAAGGTTACATGACTAATATAAATTGTGTACAGACTGGCTGACTTGAAGTGACTGGGCAAATAACCGAGGAACAATACGTTGGCGTTACTTGTTTTCTTCTGTAAAGATGATGTTTAGACAGACCTTGTGTACCTATACCACTGGTGACGGTACTGTGGTGTTACAGAGCTATTGATAGGGGTACTTCTCCTTTGTTATATTTGGTGTTTGTGCGTGAAACTATTACTTAGAGTAGAAGTGGTCATCCAGCATTAGTCTGACACAAACATGTCACTATACAGACAGGTGGTTGAGAACATATTTAGGCTCCCCCAGTCTGGCAGGTAGGGTTCCCCAATCTTGTAATGAATGTAAAGATATTTCACACCTGTGATGGGCATTTGCCAAGCTCCCCAAATTCCAAAAGTGACATTAGACCAGATATATATCTGTCTGTAGATAGGGGAATCACTTTCAAATCAGATCTGATAGGCTGGCTTTTTACCATCTGAGACAAGATCACGGTAACATGATAGACATTTCGTAGTCATCGTATGCAAAGAATCTGTGTTCCTAGGTGACCTCCGACCTGAGCTATTCAGGGTGCGCGGTATAGGGTGACAACATATAGTCCACCAGGTGTAGTCAGTCCACAGCTATCTTCTTGCATACCTAAATACCTAATGCATATTGTAAGCAAAGAAAGAGTGATGTACATTTCTTGCCCTATCACAATACTTTGTTTTTGCAATACTTTATTTTATCATTTCCGTTACTGGGTAATTTATTACACTTTAATTAAATGTTCACTTGGTGCTAATGTTGAAGTTGGTATAAAAGGGAAATTTATTAACTGCACTTTCATTTTTGTTAAGTCATTCTGCGTTGTTAAAAATTTGTCCTTGAAATTATGTGTATGAAGGTTTGTTACGATGCTTTCTTGTACCACACAACTTGTATTGAGGTTTAAACTGACTACCTGCACCACACAACTTGTATTGAGGTTTAAACTGACTACCTACAGCCCCAAGTTTTTATGAAGAGTTTCTCCAGCTGCTTTTACTACAAGCCTATCTCCCCGTAGTTTGAGAAATCATTAGAGTTTATTTTTTTCTAAATAATTCAATATTGTAGAGACGCAGGCCAGTCTAGCTCGGGTTAGAACCTGTTGGTTTTGGCGGGCAGATATTTCACTTCGGTCAGCAGTTCATGCTTTTATTGTGCTGTTCATGCAAGAGAAGACTTAAATCCAGTCTCGTGTAATAGCTAGGCTGACCTCAGGTCAAACGATAGATAAAACCCGGTACTACTTCTAAAGTGTTAACATAGGTATCAAATCCTACCAGGGGGCTGTGTCCAGTGACATAGGTATCAAATCCGGATCCTTCTATGGGTTCACACCACGTGTCCAGTGAGGGGCCGTGTGAGACAAAGAATGTGCCCTTCGCACCGTTAATCAGCTCGGTCATCGTTGTCATGCCATCCCTTATAGGATCAAATCCCCTAAGTGATAAAAGAGAGCCAAATGTCAACATGTCTGCATAATCGTTATGATAAAAATATTGAAGAAAAACAGTAATTCAAATTTTAGACACTTCCTAATACACAGCTTTAGTGGATTAGACATTTCAAAAGATTATACTATTGCTTCATTCTGTTTTTAACATGTAGTTAGGGTAAAATCAATTTTCTTGAATGATGAAAATTTGGGTAAATGATTATGTCAATTTTTATCTATCCCATAATCCCACAGCTGTTGATAAGCCAATGATGATCAGAGACAAACAGTTCAATAGGAAAAATGTTGGGATCAATATGGGAATTGAATCTGCTTTGAGAGAGTCCTATCCATGTTATCTCTAAAAAGATTAATTCACATTTAATTGTCAGTTGAACAAGGGAGGATCGATAAAATACGAGTTAACGATTGACCCTAGTGCAGGGAGATGCTCCAACCGATGTGGTTTTACTGGAGGAGACAAGCTCGAGAATTTTAGGAATTCCTGTCATTTTTGTTTCCAGTTTTACTGACAGGAGTCCATCTGTCGGTACTAATAAAGAGTGTGTGTGTAGGGAGGGGGGGGGGGGTATCAGTGATCCCGGCCACGGTTATCTGTCTCCATGTCTAACACTTGACATTCTAAGTGGGTATATAAGTGGTGCATATCATGTCTACATATGTCACATTCTCCAAATATATCTAAACAAACAAAAAATGACATAAATCTTTGGTAATGTGACATGAAGCATAAGATATAGATTGGAAAGTTTAATCGGGTAAGGTAGGACCCAGAGATGAGGAAGTTTATGTAGAAGTTTGAGTCCACAGCAGTAGGTGTGAAGGTGCCTATCTAATCTGGCTGAAGATTAATTTTACATAACAAGTACACAGCAGTGATGATATAGGAGTAAACAGGGCTATATATAAACAGCCGCCTTGGCCTGTGTACTTGGGTGGGTCTCCAGTTCACGAGATAAATATCTTTTATCATCTTTGATCTGTAGATGGATATCTTTCTTGGTATTATATCATTTCTCGGAAAATACTTGAGAAAATCAAGCAATTTTTTTTAATGATACAGTGGTAAAAAATATTAATTTTATGGTACAGTAAAATATACAGTATGACGATATCTGAGTGTCACTGTGCATAATTATATCACCGAAGGGTGTATGTATTAGTATGCAAGACAGAATTAACCACAGCTTACAGCCAACTGTGCACATATTTACATGACAATTTAGGTTTGTTGGTAATTTTGAAGAGGCACAGTTATTTCATTTTGCATACATTCAGGTTAAAATTCCATTGAAAAGAAATTTTTGGCTTTGTATAATAGAAAATGTCTTTTTGTCTGTATATTTAAAAAAAACACCAAGACAACACAAAAGGAAACCAGAACAATGTATGTGATCATTAAAAACTGGTCTGGAAGGGATACAAAATGTTCCCCCAGATATATGTGTCTTTGTGAAGTAGCA